AGGGCAGCACAGAAGAATGTATCGCCGGGCCAGTGGCGCACTTGGGCCGAGACCTGGGTCGACATGCTCATTATGCAGCTAGACGACCAAGAGGAAGGGACGGATATCGACCTGCTGCAGGGCATGTTTGCCATCAACCAGGAAAGGCGGCTGACGGCTCGCAAGGGCCTAATGAAGGGCCTTAAGGACGGCCTGTTTACGCGGCGGGCCGTCGACGGACTTGTCGCGTGCGCGGTGGGCGGCCAAGAAGAAGAAGAAGAAAAGGCCGCCAACGTGGCTGGCGGGGTCGAGCCACCTACAGCCACGCAACGGGCGGACGCCGAAGACGACCCTGATGCCACCATCCTACTGAGTCGATTGGGTGGTGGCGTGCCGGACAGCAGTGGGGAATTAGTGTGATTACCTGCAGCGAGTTGAATAATAACCGTATGAAATGTCTGCCTCCACCCACCACCAGGTCAAAATGGGATATGCTCGTGTCATTCATATCATGGGGGAGTGGTGCTACAGCTGCTCGGAGTAGAACACGGATGACTATCCGGAGGAAGCTTTATCAACCGTCGACTGGAAACATCTTCAGGGTAATACTAGTCGCTCCTCCTCCGCCCTCCTCCGCCCTCGGCGGTGCTGGGTGTCCCATTTGGGCCCCGTTGGCGGCATTACTGAAGTTACCTGAATCACGGTTCCGGGGCCGTCGCAGCCAGTATGGTGCAATAGGGTTGGATACACTGCCGTGCGGTGGCAGCCCCCGCAGCTGCGCGTTTAGATTGACCTTCAGGCGCTGACTAGCTACTTCGTTGGAGGCATGTATCACGATTGGTAAAGCGCTTCCCGTAGTAGAGCTGAAGACATGTGCTGTGCAGTATCTCGGGTTAAAACTGCTGACGTCTCCATCTCGAACAGCTTCGTTCGATTCTGTTCGGCCGGTGGCCCGCGGTGCTGAGCATCCAAACCACACGCCGTCGGGAGATGGTTTCACGTGACAAGGATATGCTTAAGTCGCAAACGACAGCCATGCCTAACCGTTGTCGTCGTCGGCAAGCGCCACCATAGACGTCCCTACCTGACCGAGGAGTCAGGCAGGCCGCTCAGGTAACACTAAGACGGGTACTGCGGTCGATTTCATTCAGCAAGCGCACGAGATCTTCCGTCCTCGGCATCGCACCATTAAGTTTCCCGACAAGCAGAGCGCAGCGGACGAACCGCAGGATCTGACCCAGAGCATGTGCTACATGTTTGGCCGCGCTACCCAGGCGGTGAATATCTTTTGCGTGGAGGCCCTTTTCAGGAGACGAGCGAGTCGTACGCCTTACACGTGTACTCGCCCCCGGAGCAGGATCGCGATGATCATAGAGGTCGGTCGTGAAAAATTCGTGGTTTAACGCGTCGGCTGCGGCAAGCCGGCGCGTTGGCTCTCGCTGGAGGAGTTCGGAAACGAAGCGGCGAATCGGGGAGGGGTCTAAGAGGGCGGTGTGCCCTTCCACTGTTGCCGGCCATTGGCGGGCTTGCGATTTGGAATAGTGAGGAAGACCAAACAGAAGCTCGAGCGCAAGGACACCGAGGGACCACATATCCACTTTGTTTGTATACCGCCGGCCGGAACGGATCTCTGGTGCGACGTAGTATGGCGTGCCACAATTTCCATTAAGGCTCGACGATGCCGACGCCAGACCCAAATCGGTCAGCTTGACGTGAACTGGGTTTCGAGACCGGACCAAGACGTTAGCAGGCTTGATATCTCGATGCGTAATGTGCTTGCCGTGGAGATAGTTGACGGCATCGACAAGCTGCCTAAGGACGATGCGGCTTTCCAGGATCGTGAGCGGTTGTTGTTCATGTTCCTTCGCGAGATCCAGGCCGTCGACCAATTCCATGACCAATGTCGGCGGCCTGTCGCGACCATAAGGGTTAAAAAAAAAGGGCGATAACGACTCGTCGGCGATATGGCACCTGCGGCAAAACCGGATATAATGCGCGCACCTATTAAAAGGAAATAAAAAGGTCCATTGCTTTATGAATTAGCACCGGGTACACGTTCGGTGGTCCCCGGGACATATGGGAATCCCCGGGAACGAGGAAGCCGACGCCGAAGCAAAATTAGGCACAGCCCTACCGATCCCAGTACACGCCAATCCAACAGTTGCCGGAGTAAAGGCTTTAGCCCGGAAAACGGCCCGGGACGCCCGGAACGCATGGTTTAAGGACAACTTTCCGGATCGGTATAAGGCCATAGGCCCCCGCCAGTACCACAACACACGCCCGACGCGTTGCAATTGCACCGGAAAATACTGCAACGGCTAATAGCCGCACGCACCGGCCACGGGGACTTCGACTGGTACCACCGAAAATTCGGGCACGAGGACGATAACCCGTGCCGCTGCGGAAGAAACAAATCGTGGAGGGCATCCCGCATTCGCCTCCATGTGCGCATGTGCGATAGCACGAGCCTTGTCGTCGGCTGTTTGCCCAGCGTTGCCTTCCATCCTTGGAACTTGACAGCTTCCTACAACTCCATCAGGGATTATCGAAAAAACACTCTGCCTGCAACTATTTGTCACATAGGTTTCGTCTGATCCGGCAGTGTATTCCTCAATTTGTTCTTCAAGCACGTCGGATTCATGTCGTCCTCGCGAGGATTGTGGCGTGCCTCTCCGCAAGGCTGGAGAGGTGGCGGACACTCCTCGGGCAGTCATGGCAGACGGCCTACCCACAACCAAGAGAGCCCACCGTGCAGACACTTCCAGCGCGGTGCGTGCTCCTACGGCGCGAGGTGCTGCTTTTCCCACGACCGAACTCAGGATAGCGGCACGACTCGGGACATCCACGCCAACGACGAGTCGGAGACGCTGGAACAGACCGAAGCGAGGACTGCCTATTTTGACTGGAGGCG